CAAAAGCTCACACTTATTGGTGCCAGAAAAGTTTGTTTGTATTTATAAACCACATCCCATTTAGCATCCTAAGAGAGCAGCCAAGCACAGCAGTGTCTCACCTTTTCATACTGGAGGGGGGGGAAAAAAAAAAAGAGCTCTTTATTTAAACAGCTGAATGAACTCAAGACATGATGAAGCGTGTTGTGAAACTGAATCCTTCTATGTTTTAAACAAAACCCACTAAGAGTTATTGTTTAACAAAGCAGTGTCCAGTGAATTCACAGCAAATAGAAGGCTATAAAGCTAGGATTGGGTTGTATGTCCTTTTTAAGGAATTCAGTGAGCTCAACTACATGTATTTCACAGAATGAAACTTGGTACAGGGGTGCTTATTTTTTGCAAAGCAATGGAGAAGTCTCAAAAACTGCAAACAATATGACTTCCTGATTTGCTAAGATAATTAAGACGTGTCACACACACATTAAAAAACTATATTGAATTTAAGGAATAATAAAATGCCATGTATGTTTTTACATTGTATTAAAGAAATCATTTACATTGTATTAAAGATGAGGTGTGCCTCTCGTTTTCATACTTGAAAGAAGCAGAGAAGAAATTCTAAAACATGTAGAAAAAACCGTAAGGACTATTCAAGAGCTAACAGAACTACTGTGTGACATGAGAATAAAGGAGCTCAGGGTTTTTTGGTTTTATTTATGCAGAAGATGGGTAATATACATCTTGATCACAGTTTCAACGCAGGACATTTCTGCTAATAGAAAGTTATTTAATTTAGCACAGAAAGGCATAATGAGATCCAAAGGCTTGAAACTGAAGCTAAATATATTGATTCTACATATAGCATGACATTCTGAATAGTGAAGATAACTAAACACAGGAGCAATATACTTAGAATCACAGAATGGTTTGAGTTGGAAGGGACCTTAAAGATCATCTGCTTCCAAATCCCCAGTCATCGTCAGGGACACCTTCCACTAGACCAGGTTGCTCAAAACTTCATCCAACCTGGCCTTGAACACTTCCTGGGAGGGGGCAGCCACAGCTTCTTTTGGCAACTTCAGAAATAATGGATTCTCTGCTGTTTGAAATGTTTAAATGAAGATAAAATATCTCATAGAAAGAGAGGAAAAACTCAGTCTCAAGCCCATTTGAAGTACAAAACCTAGGACTATGGCATTTATTTGCACTAGAATATGCATTCTCCTTAGTAGACAGAAAATTAATGTATATGAGACTTAGAGAAATTCCATGAAAGAACTGTAAAACTATGTATTCCAGGAACTGAAAGTAGCTATGTTCAGAACTGCAAATCTAGGTGAAAGAGTTTTCATAATTGTTACCTTTTAACAAAATCCATCCTGTGACACAGATACAAATGATTAACCTTCTGGTTGGTTTAGTTGGTCAGTGGTGTGGTTGAATCCTTTGACCGTCTTATTACTAATTGATTTAGTTAAATACATTGGTGCTTTTAAAACTGATAAATCACTCAACTCGGTGGAATAGGTCTTCTGCAAGGAAAAGCTGTCCTATATTCAAGTTACATGCTAAATCAATTTTACAGTTGGTTTATATAATGGAGTAACACCAGCCCACAAGCATCTGCTCTTAGGGTGCTGCATATTCCTACTCAAACATGTATCTGTCAGTACAGATCAGATGACAGGACTCCTTCAAGCAACAATGCTACTTCTGCAGCACCCCACAATTCCCAAATGTTTCGTAGGACAGGCTATAAATGGGGATTGCCCATTTCTATGTGTGTCTTTTAATAAAATGGTGGATGTGAGACCATGGTTTCTGCTTAGTAATTTTAATCCTTTACTTCAGTGTTCATTTCTGTACATACGTTGCTTTTATTCATGGAAGAAGTTTGTTAAGTAGTCAAAAAAAAGTTAGGGTTGCTTACTTACATAGCTTGGTGTCATTTCACATGGTGTCATGTGAAAAAGGTGCCACATGTAATTTAAGAGTTTTTACTTGACAGGAGGTATTTTTTAGCTGCTTGACATGCCTTGGCAGAAGGTCCTCTATGATACTGTGTCTTCAGTTACTCTGCATTGCAAGGAAGATCAAATCAGACTGCAGTACTTGCTATTGCAAAAAGATTTAATCTGACACTACTAAAGAATCACCCATCTTAAAGAAGAAAAATATGTCTTACTTCTGGAAGTTCTGGTCCTAAGACGTTAAATACCTGCTGCAGGTAACACTGGTCTCAACTCCAGGAGTTAGTTCTAAAGTATCTGCACTTTTGGTTCTCAGCGAGCACACAAGACTTTTATGTCTTTGGATTCCATTAGTACTAACCTCTGAGAAGAATGAAAGACATCACACCTTTATGTATTATACATGAAAAATGAGTCATGGAATAAGAAAGTTGTGGGATGCTGTGGAAAGTTCAGTCATTGATCATACTTATGAGAAGCTTTGCCTATTGACACCTCTCCTATGTATGTCATCATTCACTGGAAACTTTGGTTTCCAGTAAGACATGTCCACATGTGCATGTGCTCTGACATCAGGCATTTGAGATACAATGAGTATGGATATGACATGGGAGTATTATATATATGCTAACTGATCTTTTTAGAAGTGATGAAAGGATTTGGAGGAAAAATCTGAATCAGATTGTAATCAGGTTGTAATATTGTGAATGGATTAATTTTTATATTTTTTTTAATAATGATCAGCTTTGGAATAATAGGATGTTGAAATAGTCTATGAAAGCTGTTGCATACAAGTGAATAGAGAACAAACTATCCTATTTCACACATACAGATCTTAAAATCAGGATTAAATGTTGTTTTCAGAAAGATCATTTCTCTATTAGAATGTTATTACTGTCACACTTTCACTGCTTGATGCACACAATTCTGATTTTACTCGTTTCACTCCAGATCTGAACAAACATCCAGGCTTATTTTTCATCTTTTTCCCTTTTATGTATAAATTAGGATAATCTGGCATGTCTGTGAAGGCCCCTGGGAGATCCAACATACTGATAAGAGAGAAAAGATAGTGACAGGCTTTTATCCTTGAAACCCATGCTGTCTACTTTGAGGTATTCAGAGGTATATGAATATCTTAGGTTGCCCAAGGAAGTTGTGGATGCCCCCTCCCTGGAAGCGTTTAAGTCCAGGCTGGATGAGGCTTTGAGCAACCTGATCTAGTGGAAGGTGTCCCTGCTGATGGCAGGGGGATTGGAACTAGATGAGCTTTAAGGTCCCTTCCAATCCAAACCATTCTATGATTCTATGATCTGTATTAGGCCTACCTTTTAATATCTTCAGATATGTTCCACTGTCCCTGATAGCAGAGTCATTATTTAATAAAAAGGCAAAAGTAAAAGAATAAATGCAGTCCAAAGCCTGTACTATAGCTACTACTGCTGTATGTCCTGGTAGAATACATTGGTATGAAAAGATTTGATGAGGTAAAGTTGTACTCCTGCATGCTTGGCAGCAAAGCACAGAATTTGCAGAAGATGGGCTGAAATGCCAAGAAAATGTGCCAAGTCGTCATATCTTTTCATCTCCTTCTGCTGGAAGGACATTACTGCAGCTCCCAGAATGTTTGAAAACCACCATCAGTCAGTGATAATGCTGCTGTTTAAGCAGGAGTCTTTACTTCAGGGCAGTTGGCCAGACTGAAGCAGACGGCACAATTTCTCTCTTATTTTAGTAATTTGTGAAGTATTTCAGGGTGAACACTTAGGCAAATAAATGTGAAGTATTGGAGAGTGCTTAGTTTGTTTAGGATATGCTGAATTAAATAATCTACTTTGTTAGGATGCTTCCTAGAAAACTGACTTGAAATGATACTGATGCTGAAGGGTGACAGCTGCTTAATCAGGGCAATTCTAGTGTAATTTTCATTAAGGACAATCATTAGCTAGTGCCATCTATTTATACTGAATATGAAGCTCAATTGAAAGGGAAAACACTTATCTGTTAAAACTTCCACTTGGTTTAAAATACCCAGTGGGTGGGTTGGTTGGTTGGTTTTTGTGCTAGACTTGCTTCATCTCACCTTACAACAAGTAGTGGGGAACAGTATAAAAAAAAGTAGCACAGAGCAGTCGTTAAAAATGGACCAAAGGATTAGCATCAACCCTTAAAATGTATGCTATACTATCATATATCTTTATTGTCCATTTTAAATAGGTTGTTTAAATGTTGCACAGTTTTTTAGTATTTTATCAGTTATTATTATATTCACAGCTACAGTTTGGGAACAAATGACCAATAGAGTTATTTAGGTTTTTTTCTCTACCTTGCTGTCCTATAATGTAGTTACAATGTTTTATATACAGCTTTTCATCTGTAGATATCAGTACACTCAGATCACTGTCGAAAGAGATATTGTATTCTTTTGTAAAACGTTTTCTCCAGCTTACAAATAGGGAAATGAAGGCATAGGGAAGAAAATATACTTTTTTTTTTTTTCCCTCCTAAGCTTATCCAACAGACAAGTTGGCAAAGTCAGGAGTAGAGCTCAGGTCTCTCAAGGTCAGTGGTCTCCATTAAACTACTTGTTTAACAATTGGAAAAATAATTACCTAATACTTTAAAGTTTTAACCCTCAAATTTTCTATTTGCTAATCTATGGACTTTACTTCTCTGAGGCCAATTTTAGAATAGTTCACTGCAAGTCTTTCCACCTATGAAAGGAGAAGTAAAGATTCTCTGACATTTGCCTGCAGAATAGGAGGACAGTTGTCATTTTTGTTCAGGATTTTACAATATGCTAATATGATCATACATAACAAGTAGATAGGGCTTTGTGTTGTAAAATCTTGTTTCTGATCATAATCTTGATGTTTTGAATACATATGGAGGTGTTTCGCCTGTTTTATACAATGTTGTTGTTAATAATGTATTTCATATTCCTCTCTTCTTTTGTTTTACTTTTTATCTGGAGTAATTTTCTAGAACAGCAGTTTCTTGTTAAAGTCTCTGATTCAGATGGGAAAGGCCATCATCTAAGTTAGGGAGATGGCAATTTCGCCTGCAGAGAAAAAGACCCAAAGAGAACAGATAGAAAGCTACATTCATGATATGTCTGGACAAGAAGATATTGCTGCAAAGCAGCATGTCGATGCTGGTTCCAAGAGAACTGGCTGGGTTGCCAGAAGCAGCATAACTGTGGTTTCACTCATACTGAGGATTGGACTAGGAAATGTAGTTCATAGCTAGACCTGGGTAACTGCATGGCACTGCATTGTGCCTGTGTTGATGAGAGAGAGAGCAATAGTTACATGTGAGCTTTTATGTAAGTGTGAAATGACTCACTCTAAAAAGCATTTGCTCAGATTTAAAAAAAAGCCTACAACAGAACTGTATAACTGAACTTAGTCCTAAATTGTTCATTTTGTGATGTCTTGGTAAGTACAAAAACCTGATACATTAACATGTTATATGAATCAATAATATGTAAAAAGACATTTAAGATGCATCATGCTGAATTTTTCTGTTAATTCATGTACTTTATTTCACAGGCAAAAAAACCCAGGCAAGAACAGATCACTCGCAATTGCACATGTTTCAGCCTGATGATGTTGGTGCTTTAATTAGAACAGTGGAAAGTCAGCATGAATTCTTTTGTTTTACAGAAAGCAAGAAGAATTGAGGTTAATTAAAGGTTAATTAGAGTTTAATTGGTAGTTCTTTTTTTTCCTCTTTACTTCTGGTGATAACACGAATGTTAGAATCCTTGACTTGGATGGCAACAGATTGGGCAGGCCTGGTGTTGATTGCTACTGCCAACATGAAAGTGGTGCTGCAGTCCTGCAGCTCCAGTTCTTAATCAATGAGGTAAGGACATATTTTCTCAGATTCTTCTGTATAAATTTAGTTCAGTAAGTCAATCCGTGTATTGTAATTGAGTGATATAACTTTTCATATTGACAAATTGTGCCAAGAAGTGGCACACATCCAGAGGACATTCACCATATAGCCTTTTAGAAGATTATTTATGGGACTGCATGCAGTGAAAAGTATTATCTTCATATACATCAGTATAAAGTACTGAACAAAAGACAGTCAATATATGAATGTGTGCAGATAGATGTAAAATCCATTAAATTACTAAATATACTGCACAGTCTTGTTTCAAATAGAAGTTAATAAATGAGCTAAATCTTTCTATGGAAAGATATTGATGGTTATTGGCTGAAAGCTCAATAGTTGGGGATATGCTACTATTTGAAGCAAGGAAAAGCAATTGCAGGGGTCATCAATCAAACCAGCACGCTTAGTCTTTGTAAATGGTTTGTCAAAATCAAGTTTAGATGACATGAAGAAACAGTGACAAATTATAGCTTGATCTGTGCAGAAGATCTCTGGAGATGGTAATAGGCAAGAAGACTTTCTGGAGCATATAAATCTGTTTGGTTTTTTTTCCCTAGAACCTCATAACTTGTCCAAATTATAAGCTATTCATAGTTCAGTTTTAATGAATTTTCTTCCGTGATATAAGGAAACACTTTTGACAGTTTCAAGTCCTCTTTCTAAGCAGGGAGATATTAGAACTCCTCAAGGAAAAAAGTTTCAGTTTAATGTTTTTTTAAACCTGGGAAATTGTTATTTTTTTCTACACTTACTTGGAGAAAATACCTGCCCCACAGAAACTGAGGAGGGAGGACTGAAACTTTAGACAGTCCAGTGGAATTCTTTAGAGGAAGGCAGGGATGAAAACAGGGAGGCCAAGGTCTGAATCGGTCATCTTTCTTTTCATTAGATGACCAGCAAAACCCCTAATACATAGGATTAATTTTATTTCTTTGGTTGAGATTCTTTCTGACATTGGTCTAAACTCTTTGGGAGATGAGAATTAACACGTTTTACACTGTATTAGCCAAGTCTCACCTTCATAAGTTCCATTTGCATATGTCAACATTGAAGAGAACAGGTGCTAGGATTAGGAAGGAAATCCAAGGTATGAGAAGAGAAGTTGATTGGTCAGTCATAGTTAGTATGAACTGATCTTGCAATTACATCCTCGCCCTTCCTCAGAATAAAGCATTGCCTTCTGTTTTGGCAATATCTAGTTCCTCTCCACCATAGAAATACACAGCTTTAATTTTCATTTTAAATCGATGGAGTTTTAATTTAACTTTGAACTTGTATGAATTTAAAATATTTACATTTACCAGATCAATTCAAATTGAGTATTATTTATGGTAGAATGTATCTTTGCTATAAGAAAGTAACAGTTTTTCATAAACTATACCATTTTCTGCAGGTAGATCATTAACAGAGAGGATCACTTAAGAATAAGACAGAATCTGCAGAAAAGTAATATGTTGTGCTGTACTTTGTGTCTGCTCTAGGGTGCTTTGGTCAGTGCAAGTGCAGATGATGCACTTCATTTGTGGAATCTCCGACAGAAACGACCAGCTATCCTGCACTCTCTGAAATTTAACAGAGAAAGGTAAGTCTATATGACACAAAATAAAATCCTCATTGAAAAACAAAACAAACCAACCCAAGCTCACTTTCCAGATTTCTAACAATACATGCTTATTAGTTTGCCTTTCTAAGGGAGGATATAGTTTTGTCTTAAAGTTTTTTTTTCCATTATTTGAGTCTTGTTTGCACAGAACAAAAAACTTAGATTTCTCTTTCTGCAGCCTTCTTAGAACTAGAAATATTTTATCTGCTTTTTGTAAAAATGTTTTTCATTTTACCTTTGGTTTGCTAGAACCAGTGTGAACGTAGTGTGTTTGTTTTTTCTTAAGCACTGTGATACTTTTAGGTGATCTGTTGTTCAGTACTAGCTGAAGTATCTCAGCTGGCTGAATCAGGGAAATAATTATTTTCTCTACCTTGGAAGTGTTTTATTTTTAAAAAATTCTGGAAGTTTAGCAGAAATAAATTGTGAATTTGAGTAACTATGGTAAAAGTCAAATGAATTGGAGACTTTTTCTAAATTTTACTTTATCAGTAGCAAATTGTAGAAATCCCTACTGAAAATAGATTAGTGGTTGTAATTTTCAAATTCAAACAGAAGCTGAGCACTTTAATCTGCATTTAGTCACCCAAGTAAAACCTGCTATGATATTATGAAGCTTGAATGCTACACTTTTATTAAGAAAAATTCCATGTTTCTATTAAGGAATTAGTTCAGTAGTGAGAAGAACAAGGTTCAGTGCATAAATGCAGCAGGTTTTTTTTGTGAGTCCTGGAGCAACACAGTTATGCTGTACGTCATCTTTGGGGTGGATTTTTTTTTTTTTTTAAGTTGAAAACATAGGTATAATATGTAGTATGGTTTTTTACTGGAAGTTCAAGTGATACTGTAATTCTCTTAGTATATACATTCAGTGTTTACTGACATGCAGCAGCTTCTTTTAGATATTTATATATTTGCATGTGCAGTGGTGAAAGATATCAGATCTTAATCAGAGCTATGAAGTAAACAGGTTCAGCAAAGCAAGCTTTAGCTGCAGTAAATCTGAAAATAATTACGGAAATAGACTTTTTCTTTATTGTTTATTATTCAGATACATATAATGTTTGCACTTAAATGTCACCAAGTTGCAAGTTTTGTTGTGGGAAGTACTACATAATGAATTAGTAAATATACATCCTAATTCCAAAGAGTTTACAACCTGTGGCAAAAGTATATCAAGTGCTTTGGGAATCCATGAGGGAAGATGAAAAAGGGAAATTATATGTACATTTGCTAGCTGCTTCTGGACAGTAAGTCATCATTTTACATATGTTGAAATATTTAAAACTTGGTATTCTCACCACATAGGTACATTATCCACAATTTGTCATCGATAAATCTAAATATTGTAGAAGTTATTCCAGTACATCTTGGTCTGGCTCTCCCAGCCAGTAACCTTCCATACAACCAAAGGAATCAATACTTATAAGAATGCAGTGTCTGTTCACCTGTTAACCTGTCATTTCTCTTCAGAGACACTAGTGTGGTATCTTGGTCAGAATTTTATCTAAATTTCTTGATAAAATAAACTTACACACTAAGTAAAAACATTTGTCATCGCATTTACCTAAACTTCCTTTTGCTTCTGGTAGCCTAAAATATTGGGGAAAATATTTGGAAACAAGTTATTTGGAATACTGGAAAACTTTGCATAAAACTAAATTTTGTGTAATTGAGGTTAATTAATTGAGGTTTAAAAGGGATCTGAGGATGTCGCTATTTGTAACAAATGCATAGCTAGCTATATTGCCTTTTATCAAGAAGTTGAGAGTTAAAAAAATTCTAATAATTCTTTCATGCACATTTGAAGTAACTGGTACAATCACTGACATTTAAATAATTTTATTAGCACATCAAATGTTATGAGGCAAATATTCTGATACATTGCTATATAATAGTGTCAAAGAAGTAAATCCAGTTTTAAATTTAAAAAGAGATTTCCATAAATGTGTAGAAATAACTTTGTACGCAGTTCTTTTCTTCTCAGGTTTCTCTAGCACTGCTCTAAGATTTTAGTTTTCTGTATGTAAGCATTTGAGTCCAGAATTAAATATGGTTGTATTTTTAAAAAATAGATATCAATTAATTTTAAATGATCTAACTATCAATTTTCTTAGCTTGATTACACATTTAGTATGTAAAATTCAACATAAGCCTCCAGGCAAGTAGCTAAAAAGTAGGGCTAAATCCCTCATTAACCCTCTTATTATTTTGTAACATTTCTCCTTATATATGCCTAATAGAGTTAAGTCTAAAAAAGAGCTTCCATTTTTTCCTGAATATTTCTGTTAGAGCACTGTCTGTCTTCCAAAAATTAATGTTATCTTCACTGTTGGAACACTTAAAAAAATTTTTTTTTCATCCTCTCCTCTTGTAGGGAGAGATGAAGGGAAAACAAGATTCACTCTAAAGAGAGAAATATATTTTCTTTTGTCTTGTTTTAAGTTTGTGACCCGATGAATGAGCCGGTTTTGATGTTTCTTAAATGGCTGAAATGCTTGTTGACAGAGAACAGGTGTTAAAATACTGATGCATGTTTTCAGAAAACAGTAAGGTATTGGAAAGGCCATACAGGGAAGTGATTAGACAGGCAAAAGCTGGTTCTTAGAACAGCACCATTTTCAATTTAAACAGCTTTTACAAGCCAAACACATAATTATTCATTTTATCTATGAAAATGGAGCATGTGGCTGCTTCAGATTTTTCTATTTGCATGTCTGCCTTGAGGATTTAGACAACCTGTAATTTCGTTCATACAATATGTTTGGGTCCTTTTTTATGAACAATGGGCAGATTTACTTCATGAAGTGATGCAATGTAATTTTGCTTAAATTTCTAATATTTTATCTGTTTGTGATGAGGAAGATAATTGCATTAGTCCAAATTCTTGATGAATTTTACTTCAGTTAATTAACTTTCATGTAGAATCAGTTTATTCTGAGTTTTTAAAATATTTGATGAATGAACCATACAGCTGCTAAGTTCTGTTAGATGGATGAACGCTACTTAAGTCTTTGGCTATTAATCAGTGAACCAGTCTTCATACTGTTGAACTGTTTAATTTACAATTCTCTTCTGTTTCTTGACATTTAAGATTGCAGGATAATGGACTAAAATCTGCTCTTAGCAGTGTTTATGTGTATGTCTATGCAACTACTTGAGTCAAATTTCCCCAAGCATACACATATATTCCCTCCCACAAAAGTCCAAACCAAGTTTTTTTCTTTTCTTCAGATGTTGCTACCAACATAGATGTAAAGAGCAAAGAACTCTTAAAAACAAACACAGATCTTGTTTGTAAATAGATTTGCAGCGCACTGGTTGTCTTTCACTTACCATGTAGGATTCAGTATCAAGACTGAATGTTTTATGAATAATATTTCACTAACAAAATGCACTTTGGTAGCCAGTAAGTCATAGCTGGCAACCTCTCCAGATTTATTTTTTTCTTCTTCTGACCTATTGTTAAACTAATTTGCCCTTTGTGAGGGGTTTTATACGGTATGTTCTTGGTGACAAGCTGTCTCCTAGAATATTGTAGTGCTGCTCAAATAATTCTGGGATATGCTGATGCAACATTAACAATATTAACTTGTCTCTGATCATTCACTGTTTCTTGTGTCTCTTTGGATCAAGTGTAGAAGGAACACTGAAGAATAAGACCTAATGGCAAACTGATATTTTTGTTCTACAGTGTAATGCCCAGGACTTTTTAGCAAACTGTATGTTTTTGCCTTATATTAAAATGTAATATTATCATCTTAAATTTCTATTTTCATAATTGGAATGTCATACAATGCATTAAGGACCTTCAAGAAAATATAAAAGTGAGCAGTGTATTTCAGTGCTTGACTCCATACCAAGAGCTCTAATAATAACACGGTTATTCAAAGACATGCTTGACAGTAGCATATGGTTGATAATATATGATTTGGTTTTCCGTTTAGAAATAGGAAGCACAGGTGAAACTTTTTAACCTCTGGAAACACTCCATAAGAATCTCTTCAGTACTTTTGAAGGATAACATTATGGTAATATTCCTTATGTTAGTCCTTCCTTTTCCTTCTTTAATGTCATAGGAGATGCCAGATTAATCTTCAGTAGACGTTTTAGGCAAAATGAATGACTCAGCTGCTGGAAGTAGGCACTGTCTATATCTGCTACAAAGAACATTAGGATTAAGCTAAACCACTGAAAACTGTTATAGGCCTTATTTTTTTTAATGTAGTCAGAGCAGACTTCAGCAAGTATAGCTTTAAATATTCAACAGTTTGCCTATTTTTCCCCTTTAAGATTAGTGCAACTGGGATAGGAAAAACCAGCAACATTACAGTGTGAAATCCAGGTCCTTTAGGCCTGTGTGCATTAGTCTCACCTACAAACACAGCTCATCTTCTCTTACGCTGAAGCTGAGCTAGTTCATTTGCGTTGATTGACATGGGGGATAGCCCTCCTCTTTTTCTTCTTTTACCCAGTGCTGACTGGTGTGTTCAGTGCCAGAACAGTTTATCCACTGACTTATACTCAGCATATATGAACACAGTGTACAAGTTCTGTTGGGTCTTTAAATCCATCCGCGTGCGCTGTGCACCGATGCCGTGACAGTACTGTTAAGTGCCCTTCCACAGAGGAATCACCAGGTGACAAAATCTGTGTAACTGTCTTTGGGGCTCTGATCTGAACACTTTCTTTGGTGTTAAGGGTATTCTGGCACAGAGGAGGAGGAGCCTTTTGAGTGGGTGACCTTTAAAGCAATTATCTCAGTTAGCTTTAACTTACCGTTAATTTGAAACTTGACTCTTAAATCTGAGATTTTGCAGTATTTGAACAAGGTGATTGAGAGTGTTACTGTGGTGCTTGGAAGCAAAGAGAAAAAAAACATATTTTTTTGATCTGGTTACTTTTCTTTTGTGTGTTGGTCTGCATTCTTTCCTGAAAGCAGTTGTATCTTTGTCTATCTGACTTGCTGTATCTTTGCA